CATATTGAACTGTATTAGTTCATATGAGAGATATGTTGTTTCTTAGAAATTTGTCTTTCACTTAAAGTTTTCAGTTATCTTTTAGTTTTAAAATTCTTCCTCAATTTTAATAAAGTAATTGATCACCATAAATGCTATGTTCTTAAAATCAAAGTTAAGAAGTCATAGACATTGAATTGATATCTGCAGCTTGCCCAGCTGTAGTGCAAGAATGTGACACTGCCACCTCTGGAAATATTGACAACTATGTAAATTTTCTTATGATGTTTTCAATATCCAGACATGAATTAATGGATTTTACTTGCCCGGTCTTCAGGTTTATCTTGTTCTATACCCCTTTTTGTAAGTTTATTCAACTGTCAACTAAATCTTATTTCTTAACTGCTATACTTTTAGGTGTAGCTTGATTTCTTCATTCTGTACTGCAGTAAATATTTCTGCCCTCAGTAGGGGGATGCCCCAGCTGTGCAGTGATCCAGCAGTGCAGGGGTCTACCTCCCCATGGCCTGATCAGGTCGCTGGTTTAACCCAGTGCTGGGGTCAGTGGCTGCTGCCTGCTCCGCTCCAGCTCCAGCTCTGGGGTCACCCCCACCTGTCCCTGCCTGACAAACCATGGCTCTCTGTGTGCATGGGGTTTTGACAGGGTGGGGTGTCTGGGCTCTGCTGCCAGGCTATTGCTGGCAGCCTGGGAGGAGGAAAGGTATAAAGGGAAACTCAAGCAGAGCCCAAGACTAGAGGAATAAGTACCAGTAACATGTTCCTTCAAACAATGAGAAGAAAGAAATCATGCTCTAGTGTAAAGTTCAAATATTTAAAAAACAGTGCAAGCTGCCGGTTTTTATATTTTATCTCTCTGGTTCTTGTATTCACTTATAAATTATATGGAAAGATATTGTTCTCAAGAGCCGTGCATATGTATCTAAGATCTCAAAATTATATTTAATGAAAAATAAATGTCAAAGTTTCAGACCAAGGAAATAAATTTTTTTAATTGTTTTAATAACTTTGTTTCCTGTGGTCTAATCTTATCTTCTTCTCTGTACTGGAAATCAAACCTTGACTAAACTAAGAAAAAGTTACTTCAAAATAAGTTGCAACTTTTCAAATTTACTGCAGTCCAATCAGCACCAATTTAATTTTACTTGATATAGGTGAAATAATTGCCTGAAATAAGTCTATTACTGACACAAAGTACAATAAAAATAGAAAACCTAAATCTCTGGTATTAGTCACTAAGCTATAATAAATCTTACTTAAGATGAAATCAACAAAAACAAGCTAAGTGACCTTATCAGCCCTGCTTTTCCATGCACTACACATAGAAAACTTTTGTTAACAGGTTATTTACTCATAACAGACCTAATGAGACAATGCTAAAATGATGTTGGAAGGACCTTATGCTTTTTGCAAGGTTAATGTCAGTGTGACAAAATTATTACTTTTTCTTCTCAGTCAGCTACTATTTTTATTTTTAAATTTGTAAGAAATTATTTAACAAATAATTGACTTTCTTTCTGTAACTGGACTATGCTCACAATATGTTTTTTAGTATTTCTGCTCATGTCTCTTAATTTTAATTCCTTAGATTTATGCAATAGATTTTTTTGCTAATATACATAATTGGCTTCATTATTGGTTATACATATGATAAACCCATTGTTTGCTGATTCATATCTGTCTACCATGAAATTTCATTGAATGATCACAAGTAGTTGTCAATAGTCCTAAAATTTTTGTTACCAGAATTAACTTGAACAAGGGAACTAGACACTGCTGAGCAATTCTGAAAGGTAATCTCTCCTTTTGTCTCAATTATTTTTATTTTCAACAGAATGTGAAATTTTCAGTTACCAGAGAAAGACTAACTTTCTTTTTCTTTTTTATTTCTGTATCATATATAAATTAGTATAGCATGCTAATTTATTACTGTTTTCCATTTTTGAGTATGCTCTCAGCAATCAATTGCTTTTTTTTTATCATGCATTGGTTTTTCTTTTCTGGGTAGAACATATTTAATTTTATTGCACAAAATTCTCTGTTCCTCCTTTTTGTCTTTTCAAACTAGTCAATTCTCATTAATTGGTATATTTAATTTTTAGTTCTCAAATGGCACTCAAATATCTTTATTATCTCCTATTTAAAAAATAAATAAATAAAAATAAACAGAATTGAAGAATCTTCATCTTCCTCAGGCTTTAACCTTAATAATGAGGTAATTTCATATTTAGAGGTTTCACATTTATATTCTTATATATTTTTATATATTCTTATAATATAAAAACTTATAATAATGTAAGTTCTATTATATATATAAGTTCTATTGTATCTTCTTGTGAGTCTGATAAGAAGTAAATGAACTAGAGTATATGTATTTTCAAACATCAGATCCCAGGGTGATGATTCCACCACTTCCCTGGGCACCCTGTTTCAGTGAAGAAAGTTTTACTAATATCCAGCTTTAACTTCTCGTGGAACTTGAGGCCACTTCCTGTCATTCTGCCACTTGTTCCCTGGAAGAAGTGTATCTCACTACAACCACCTTTCAGGGAGGTGTAGAGAGTCTCCTTTTCTCCAGGCTAATCAACCCCAACTCCCTCAGTCACCCATAGGGTTTGTGCTCCAGACCCTTCACCAGCTTTCTTGCCCTTTTCTGGAGCAGAGGGCCCAACATTGAACACACATTTGAAGACGCGTGTGAAAGTCTTGTTGGAAGATATGAAAATCTCTAGATTAGGATGCAGTTGTTGAATTGTGCCAATGAGCTCCAAGGAAGGCTGAGGCATCACCAGTTGTGCAGTGGGTTAAATATAAAACAGATATTGGGAAAGGATGCTGAGTTTTCCTTATTAAGATATGAGACTGACTGATCCTTCCTATGCATGGATGACTTGAAAGAATAGGAGAATAATTGTTTTCTTTTCATCTTAGTGTCACTCTTATTAGTCTATATTAGTCTTCTCACATCTATGGCATTTCCTTGCCTCCTGCAACATTCTGATATGTGGAGGAGCCCCCAGGTTGCCATCAATACATTAATGCCCCCAACATGGTATGTGTGAGGTGCTTTTCGCTTTTTTTTTTGATGTGTGGAGGACTTATTTCTAGATAGGTAAGTATGGTCTGTAAAGCAGAGCTCAAAGAGGTGTCTTCAGCCCAGTAACACATCTTGCATAGTCTGAGCTATGGAAAAGTTTACAGGTGGTATTTTACACAAAAGTGCTTGTTATGTGGTATTGTAGTCTGTCTCACACCAACTTTACAGAACATTTGGTTGTATTCAGCAAGATTATTTCAATTAAAAGTTTTCATACTTTGAAAAAGGATTAAAAAAAAAGGCAGGTTTCAAATTAAGTGACAGTTGAATTGGAAGAGAATGACAGATTGTCTAAGTTACAGTCATAACCAATTGCCAGCCTTTTGTGTCTACAGTGAAACAAATTATATATTTAGTACATTTTGCTCATGGAAATAATTTAAATGAAAATGTTTATTCATATCAGGAGGGATTAATCCATTGATCTTAATGGATTAATGCTAGGAATGTATTAGTGATATATCAGGGATGTATTGTTCAGGGGTATTAGAATACAGATGCTGAATTTAAAGGAGAAATTTTAACATCTGAATGTAAATTATTTTCTGTAAGAACTACCAAAAATATTTTGAATTTGAACATTTTGGCAAGAACATTTGAGGTCTAATATTGAGAAGGTTATTTTCTTTGTTACAACTAATACTTAAAAAGCCCCTTTTTTTAGATTTTTGGGGTTTTTTTATTTAATTACTTTTCCTGTGACACATGTATTCATTTTCATCTTTAAACCCAATGTACTATAATTACTGTAATGGTTAGAGTTTTTATTCACAGCAGATCTCAGAAATTCTTTCTAGGGTGGGAATGACAAAATGGAATTTTACCTTCTAGAGATGTCTGAATCTTTTAGGACTGTCTGGACTAAAGGTTCATTTTTCCTGTTAATAACACTAAAGCTTTCCTAGTAAGAGCAAAATACAGAGATACTATTACAAGGCATTCCTGTTGGAAAAACAGAGTCAATCTTATTTGGCAGAATCTAATCTAAATTATATCTCGTGATACATGGTTTTGAATAAATTAAGCACAAAGTTGCAAAGGAAATATATTTTTTAGTTTTTCAACAGATTAGGTAGTAATAGAAGCATGCGTGAATATGTAATAATCGTCAATGATTACTTTATCTCCTTCCAGAGTGTTCTCTTTTATATTGTCTCAAACCAAGACCCCAGAGATGGCCAAATACCTGTCTGCCCATGGAAAGCAGTGAATAAATTCCTTGATTTGTTTTGTTTACATATGTGGCTTTTGCTTTACCCATTAAACTGTCATCTCAACCGAGAAGTTTTCTCACATTTACCTTTTGCTTCTTTCTCCCATTCTACTGTGGGTGCAAGCAGCTGGCTGCGTGGTGCTTGGCTGCCTCCCAGGCAGTGGGCAGTAACTTCTTACAAAGAGACCTAGGCACATGTTGTTTGTCAATTAGTATTTTGTAAAATACTAGTATTTTAAGATACTTAGATAGAAGTTGTGGCACTTGTAAAGATAAAAGTGCACCACCATATCAGTCTTAGTGAATGGCTTAAAAAAACCAAAGATTTTTATCTCTTGCATCATTTATCAAAAGCCTCTGCATTTCAACTTCATTTTGAGAAATTAGAACATCATCAACACATATCATTTTAATTCTGTATTCCTCCTGTAGAAAATCTGTGCTATTTAACTTATCAAAATTCATCATTTTATATTTATCATTTTTTGTTATATATGTCAATATACCCATCCTTTTTGATATTTACACTATAGGTAATTCCAGTTGGATATTCTTTATTGGTGAATATCATGAACTATATGAACAATCTATGTAAATAAAAGCATTCATGTGGAAATATTAATATTAATAAATATACTGTTAGTTGGTTTGAGTTCAGAATTTAAAGCTTAGTTTTATTTTCTCTTTTGTTAAACAGGTGATAGGTGTGAAGCAAATATAGATGAATGTATATCTTCTCCTTGCCTCAACAATGGAAGTTGCATTGATGGTATCAGCTCCTACAAGTGTCACTGTAAGAGAGGCTTCATCGGAACAAACTGCGAGATAAATGTTAATGAATGCTTGTCAAATCCTTGTCTTCATGGAAGGTGCCTATTTTTATTTAACTACTATTAGCTCCATGATAATGTACCTAACTAACAATATTTAGGACTTAATGATACGGGAAGTTTGATAAATATACTTTTAATTGTGTTCTTCCATAAAGTAAGAGTACAAGCACACTTAAAGAAGACAGATGTTGCTTACTTAAGCTTATGTAATATAGTGACATTATCTCAATTTCTCTTGCATTTTTGTTCATTACCATAGCTAGTATTCAGTAAGTGGGGATTTATTAGTGTTTAATATACTTAAAAGCAAATCTTTAACTGTTACATGCCAACAGTTGAAATGGGAAGATGTCTTCTAACGTGACAATCAGAATCCCTACAAAATGCCTCAGCATCCATAGTATACACATTTGAAATCCATTATAAAACTATTGAAAAGTACCATGGATTAGAGTAGATGATATCAGACCAATATTTTGAAATGCATGGAATGATACTACTAGTGCTGGAATTACTGAGCTCCACCTGAATAACACTCTTGTGTATTTCAGATGCATAGATCTCATTGATGGGTACCAATGCTCTTGTGAAGCAGGATGGACCAGCTCAAGATGTGAGATAAATATTAATGTATGTTTTCAAATTGTCTTTTTAATTATAGGGGAAAGGATAGTATGTTGTTGAAACTCACCTTTATTTAGTTAACCTCTGAAGTCAGTATATTGAAAATGTATGACAGAAATTCAGTTGTTTAAAATCCATTCTGAAAAGTACATTTTTTTTTGCTTACATGATAGTGCATTAGAAAAGACCATTACCAAAATGTCGAATGAGGTTTGTGGGTGAAGTGTGAATGATAAGTCTGGAAAGCCACAGCAAGCTAAGTCAACATTACCTGAATATCATTTGTCCCTCAGTTTTCAGGATGAATAGTATAATTACCTAATCTGAGTGTTTGAGTCCCATTTGCTGTAGTTTGGCTGCATATTTGAATAGTAGACCTCAAGGTGCAGTGTTCTACACTGAAAGTTGGCATGACTTGTCTTTAAATTTCAAAACACATGCAACAGTAGAATTCTATGGTACAAAACCATGGGGTTATAAATATACTGCCCTCTTCATCCTCTGAAGCTCGTTACCAGTTTTATGTTCTCAAAGGGACAAGAAGAGATCCATATATATAAGTCTGTGTTGTGCAGATTCCCATGGTCAGCAAACCAATTTGTAGAAGGTGACTATGACTGGCAGAACAATGAACAGAGTTTACAATATTGACTACACTTTGCACAAAGTATTGAATTGATTTTGACTTTTTTAAGTTTACTGCCAAATAGAGTTTAATCTGAACTTGAGTTATGATTCTTTTAAATGCATTTGGTCTCATGAGAAAATCTGGCATGAAAAAGTCTGGCATGAACCTTCCTTCAGGCTCTCTGGCTTCTAATATTGTGCTACTGAATTGTCAAAAAACATTCCAAAATGTTATAAAAACTTCTTCTTAACTTATGTACGAATGCAGGGACTTTTCATATTTTTTTTTGTTTTGTTTACAGCTTAAAGTACTATATAACTAAAAATGTGTCATATGACATAAAATATGGTTTACAATTCTTCTGTTGAAAATCCATGAAAGTCTCACACAAAGAGTAATTCTATCTGGAATATTGGCTTCCAAACTCCTTTACAGAAAGAAAAAGCCAGAAAATAAGTAAGCCAGCTCTACAGAATGGTGATCATGATATAAGATATGATATTGCAAATCTGTATGATTATCAGCTGTTCCCAATGCTAATACAGACTACACTTGGGTAATACTTTCTCCTGAAACATCCATGATTTACACTTTTCTTCATTTGAGGAGAGCAAGAGATTAAATGACCTGTAGACAACATCATAAAATTATATTCAAAAGATAATCATATTTCATAGTGAGATATTCAAAAATGCATAGATTAGAAATTCATGGGAAGAAACATTATACATATACCTTTGACAGATAAGTCTGTCAGAGTAACAGCTTCATTTTTTGATAGTCTTTCTATCTGCATGCAGTGTGATTCCCAGAATACACTATGCTGCAAGTGTCATATTTTAAAGGTTCTATCATTGCATTCATCCTGCTCAGACATGTATCATGCCTATGCAACTCATATAGTGATTAGCAAAGCTTTCTGACTACACAGGGGTATGCACATCACAATTATCATGGTAGGTTTACACGCTTTAATTGTATTTTTCTAATTAGCTTCAGCCACTTCCTTTGTTTTAAAAAATAAGAATGATTTAATCCAGATTTTTTTTTTTTCACTTGAAGGTACATTTCTTTGTATTAAGGGCAATGTGATTTCATTTGGTGTAGGAGCCAAGATTTTGCTCAGAAGGGGGTCTGCAGGAGCGGCTTTTGTGAGGGCAGGCCAGGGGCTGCGCCATGTTAGAAAAAACCCTTTTTTGTCGGCTTCAACAAACTTGTTCAGGACAGAGTTGAGCCTCTCACTCAAGATGATGGCACCTTTGTATGAAGATATTTAAGAAAGAGTAGAAAACACTGTTCAGCAGAGAAAGGAGTGAGGGGGAAAGAAGCGTGAGAAACAACCAGGAATTATCCAAGGTCATTGAAGAAGGAGAGAGAAGAGCTCGAGGTGCTGCAGCAGAGATTGTCAGAGCTGTAGCCCCTGAAGAGAATCATGGTGGAGCAAGTATTTGCCAGTATTTCATGAAGAGAACCATGCCAGAGCAGATATCTGCACTGCAGCCCAGGGAAGACCCCATGCTGCAGCATGTGAATATGCCCTGAGAGCGCTGCTGCCCATGGAGTGCCCCAACAGGAGCAGGCTATAGGCATGTGATGCATGGAGAGGACCCATGCAGGAGCAGTCTCACCCTGCAGCACATAAAGAAGACCCACACTGAAGCAGGGGAAAAGTGGGAGAATGAAGGAGAGAGAGTACCAGAGAGTAGCTGGTGCAAACTATGATCTGTCTCTCCCACCTCATCTGGAATTTTCAGGGGAAAACAAGGAGGGAGAACACTTTAAAACAGAGGAGTGATGTTGAGCCTAGGAAGAAGTGGAGTGTGGATTTAAGTTTTCTTTCTGTTCCTTGTTGGCCCAAAATCTATTTCTAGTTCCATGAACGTAAATTATTATTTTACACATGTCAAGTCCATTTTGCCTGTTACAGTAAATGGTAAGTGATCTCTCTGTCCTTATCAATCTAGGAGATTTGTTATCTTATTTTCATTCCTTGTCATGTAGGAGGAGGGAGAGTGAGAGAATGGCTGAGTGATCATTACAAGGTCAGCAACTAAGATGATTCAAATAACCATTTTAAAAATAAAATATATTTATGTGTGTATATGTATTTCCCTAGGCATGCTTGGATTTTTTTCTTTACTTTTTTTATCCTGGATTTTTTCTTTTTATCTTTTTTACCCTGGATTTTTTCATCCTCACCTATGTTGCTATAGAGTTTTCAAGAAAATACACTTCAAAACTTTCTCTGGTTGACTAACACTTTTAGATACAAAATAAGCACTATATATCTTTGTAGTTGTAGCCTACAACTTTTGCATATCAATTATGGAGTGTATATATTGAAAATTCCCTCTCTACTACAGTTTTCATTGCTTTTTCATTTATGGAATTTACTCAAGAACAAGTAACAGTAAAAATACGTACACTATATGAATCAGTTTGAATAGACATGATTCCCTTTGATATTTGCATATATTTGAAATGGTAAAATAAATGTACATAATGGAAAATTGACCTTTCCCTCTGACAAACAGATTAATAATATGTGCAGTAGAAGAAATTATGATTAGTAATAGACATTACTTCTTACTTTTTTTTGGCTTTTTCCAATTCTTTGCTATGATGGATGAGACATGATTGGCAGATGTGCTTCTTCCATACTCAGTTAAGACTGTCTCATCCTGTCAAAAAGGAAGAAAAAAGCATTTTGAGTCTTTACACAGGAGAGTATTCAGCTTGTTGGTGCTTCAGCATGTATCTCATAGAAAGCTATGATCAGACTGCATCCTAGATCTGTTTTATTTTATCTGGTTTTACCAATCTTTTCTCTCTATTTTCATAAAAGATAGAAACAAGTGAAAAATCAGGAAAAGCAACTAATTTTCTTTGCAAAGGCACCACAGTTTATGCACATGCAGAGGCTACTTCAAGCAAATAAATATTTATTCATCAGGACCAGACAAATTGCACAAAAGACTCGGGTATGGCAAACATTGGTGGATGTACAAAGACCCTCAGATAAGGTGGATGCTCTTCATGCCCCTCTGAGGCCTTTTCACGCTGCGGAGTACTTTTATCTATTGCTAACTAGTTTAAAAAGCATTTGGTAAAGTAAGTTATTTCTTAAAAGAAGCTAAACTAAGGTTAACTTAGCAAAAAAATAATGTTGTTTATGCACAAGATGCAGATAGGTAAATCTAAGAGCAGGAGGAGAGGGAGACACTCACTTGATTCTGCATTTGTAATTACAGACCCACGGAACAATTTCAGTGAGCATAATACTTCAGAGACATCCTGGCCGTGACATAGGAAGTTTATTTTAAGTCAGAGTGACTGAATTAGAGAGTCTTTTAAATAGAAAATAATAGGAAAAATAGATAATATCGATTGGAGAAGTAAAGTAATGGATGAAACCTACAAGAATGTTGAAGAGTAATTTCACCCCCAAAGTGCTAAACCCTCTGAGGACATTAAACTGATGGGCATATTTCTAATCTCTTTCATGAGATAATCCTATCAACTGATATCTTGTATCACAGATACTCTAGCAACAGAGAGTATCCTAAAAACCAGGAATAATAAATTATTATATTCAGTTTCAGAAAAATAAACTATGTAAAAGTGAGGTCCGCGAGCATATTGACAGCTATTAAACAAATAATGTTAAAAGCCCAGGTAAAATGTATGCTACAGCTGAAGAACACAAAGTGGTTCAAAGCCCCTGACTGGCTTAAGAAGGAAACTTAAGACTGTCACAAGGAAATAAATGGCATTTTAATAAATGGAGAGCTTGCTTATATGGAAATAATAAAAAAGTTTTCGAAACATATAAATTGAAATGTTGGCTGGAACTTCAAAAGCTTAAACCAAAAATTTGAAAGTGTCTTGTAAATAGCACTCTAACTTATAAAAATTTCTTCACATCTATCAAACCGTGGAAGTAGGGAATTGTGGGACTGCTTGATGGCAAAACTAAAATGTGCACTCAAATGGGGTTGGAGAGAAGCTTAGTGAATTCTTTGCATTTGACAAATGCCAGGAGGACCTCACAGAATGGAAAGAGGGAAAAGGTGGCAGATAAACTTCAGTGTAAAGTAATATTCTAGGGAGAAATAGCCTCATACAACTGAATTCAACTGTCAGTTACAATTCAGGAAAGAATATTTGGAACATTCATGGACAGTTCTCTGAAATCACTGTCTCAATCTACAGACACAGCAAAGCATAGCAAAAAAAACTGCTGGGCACGATCAGGAATTGTATGAGAAACAAGACAGAGGACAATATTTCCCTGCTACATAAAACTGAGGTGGGCTCACACATTGGTTACTGTGCACAATTCTGGACTTTGTGCCTTAAGCACAAGTAGAGTTAGAGA